CCGCCACCGGCCCGCCCTCGCCAGATGTGCTGCTGCTGCGCGGCCCCGGGGCCGATCTGGCTGGTCCCTCCTGGGGGTGCAGATGCCCCCCACCCCGGGGTTTGGCCAGGCGCCCTGCCAGGGCCGGGGGTGCTGGGATGGGGATCCGGTGGCGTTGGGGCTGCAGGGGAGCCACCAGTGCCGGATCAGGCCCCCCGAGGTGCTGCGTGCTTTGCCCCCAGCGTGGGGAAATGGGATCGGCCGTATCCTGTGCGTGGTGCTGGGGGCTGCCCCGCTCGCCCCAGGCGCGGGTGCAGGGGGGGCCCATTGCACCCCTTGGCCCGAGTCGGGTGTCCCTGGGTGCCCTGGGAGCCACCGTCCTGGCTGGGGCCAGACGCGCGTGCCAGGGCCCTTCGTGCCGTGAGTCGAGAGCGCCGGGCAAAGGGGAAGTGAGGGGAAGTGCCAGGCATGGCCCTGGGGACGCCCGGCACGGCCCCCCCGGCACGCCTCCCCCCCTGGCACAACGGCTGCGGCTTCCCTTGTGGGGCGGGGACAGGAGCCCCTGCCCCACGCTGGGCCCGGATGCGGGGGCACCCTGGGGCGGGCAGGGGACGGTGGCGAGGGGCACCCGGGATGGGTGTGGGGCCTCTCCACGCTCAGAGCCGCGTGTGGGCACGTGTGCACTCGCACGGTGGGTGTGCATGTGTGTGCCTGTGTGTGCACGCTGCGGGGGGGTGAGGGTGGGGGTGCGTGCACAGCCCGTGCAAGGGGGTGTGCACATCCGTGTGCATGTGGAGCTGGCTGCGTGTGCGCGCGTGTCCGTGGCGCCGTGCGCGTGCGCTGCTGGCTGTGCCCGTGCGTGTGTGTGCACGCCCGTGTGCGCACAGCTGGGGCTGCGGGGGTTGTGCGTGCGTGTAGCGAGCGTGCGCAGGGCTGAGCGACGGTGTGTGGGGAGCGCGTGTGTGCGCGCGCGGGTGTGCTCAGTGCCCAGCCCGCTGCGCGTTTGCCCGTTCCTGCACAACTGTGTCTGCACGCCGCCGCACGCGGTGCGGAGCCACCCGTGTCCCCGTGCCAGGTGTGTGCATGCGTGTCGGTGTGTGTGGGGGTGCCAGGGCTTGTGCCTGTGCCCTCGTCCCTGTCCCCAGGGCCTCCCGCCGCAGTGCCTGGCTGTCCCCGGGGGTCCCCTCCCCTCGCCCAGTGCTGGCCCACGGAGGATCTCGGGGGACCATGAGGGATTCCCGCCCGCCACCCTGCGAGGGGCTCCCTGGACTGCCGCCCCCACCGGACCCTCCCTCCGCCCTGATTCCCAGGCTGCGGGAAATGGGACCCCGGCGCGGCCCCCTCCCCCTGC